ACAACTTTATAGCGATGCACATCGACCTTTTCACATATATAAACTCGAAATTCGTATATGTGGAAAGGCACATCCACACTCAGATCAACCAATTATACAAGAACGTCCTATTACAACAATGCCAAATAGAATATGGAATGATGCAGAACTCATAGCTGCAGGATCACCAGATGTCTTTGCGTACCACTTCATGAAGGGATCAGGATACATGGCACTTTTAGCCGGAGAAGTTATTCACATCGTAAAATGCGTACCAGTCGAAGTCAGAATAGCTTGGACTGCTGAATGTTACGAACAACTCCCCGTATTGCGCGGAAACGATACATATTTCTTGACACCGCAAACACACATATTAATACGACATGGCACTCAAGTCACATGCAACTCTTTCGCGCCGAGCATGTATCTCTTAGGAGATTCATGGTATAAGATCATGCCCAAACCAGTAGAAACTGTACCACCTACGGTCATGAAGCCTTCAACCAAACATTCGTGGAAATATATCAGCCCTGGAGCTCTTGCAACCAGTGGCATATACTCGCAATCAGATCTAGAGGAACTTAAAGATCACATAATGTTCTCCGCCGAAAGACCTGCAATTCTTAACACCGTCGCAAGGGGCATATTAGGACAGACAACCGTGTTGAATGGAAGATCACTCTTAAATCTTATAGACGAAGCTTCAATAGAAAAAATCGCTGCTTCAGCATGAACAAAATTCTGGAATAAATTCTTAATATTTGGTAATGTCAGCGCTGGATTAATAGGGATCTACCTAACCGCCAGACTCATTAAATTACTATTAGAACGAAATTACTATTAGACACGTTCGTACACGGATACGCCTTACACACGGTGTACGGGTGGTCGGTGTATCTGTTCGGAGCCGTATGGGACTCGCTTACTCAACTTCTATTGCACTTAGGGAAAAATAATCCTAAAAATGTACGCCCTAGTGCACCGGATCTCAAAATGCAGGAATATAACGAAATGAAACCTTCTGACACCGTAGCTCTTATGGAGAACAGTTCTAAACTAGAGCCTATGTACCCTCATCTTCCTCCGAAGGAAGATTCTACGTACACCCTCCAATTAAAAGGATAAAACAAAATAAAAAAAAATATCTGCATGATTCGCCTCCTTTTTCAAAAATAAAATAAAAAAAAAAACCGTAGCATGCGGCGTCATGCAGAACATTAAAACATAGAATAATTTTCTTATAGACAACATGGAAGTCGAATGCGTAAACACTAGACTGCTGGCGCGCAGCCCGTTAACAGTAACAATCGTGAAGGTGGACTCACTAAGTTTGTTCTGGGCTCAATTGAAAACTAGCAACGAGGACTTTCGGGAACTTCTCGAAGACCTGACCCGGAGGATGACACGAAAGGGGCACATGCTGCGCCTTCTTCCCGATCACATTATCGTCGGAGAAGCCGTTGCTATCCGAGAGGGCAGAGGATGGCAACGAGGAGTCATAACAGACGTCAACGGAGACAGGACGGTTGCCGTCTCTCTATATGCGACTGGGGCCGCAGCGTGGAGCGCCCATGTTTCGAGGTATACATTTTAGAGGACAGATTTCGCCAGATGAGATGGCAGGGGATCTCTTGCGGATTGGCCTACATCGCTCCCTTCTCCGGCTCGTCTTGGTCAAGAAAGGCCAAGGACCTAACCAAGTTCCTTATTAACCAACAAGAGGGACATATATCCATCTTAAGGACCGTAAGGGATGAAGGGGCGCTTGTCGAACTGAAAATCCGGAGTGGGGGCAACGCTCGTGAATATCACGAAATAAATTTTAAGGAAACCTTAATAAAATTAGGGTATGCTCGGCATAGCGATAAGTTAAGAACGGGTTCACATCCTTTCATATAATCATAAAAGTAAAGGTAAAATAAAATAAAACAAAAAAATATATGTAACGATGCATCCATCGTCCTAGCCAGAACACCCGGCCGGACGCCGCTGCACCGCCAATGCGATGCAGCGATGAGGGCGCAGAAGCGCCCGATAAAAACGAAAACATAATTCACAGGTACACGGTGGCAGTAACGGTCGCAACGTGCCGAGCACCGCCGAACACAGATCGGCTCTCGCGAACTACCACCGCCCGGAATCGCGCACACCGCAAGTACCGAGCGGCGGGAAAGACCGAGAGAACGCGAAGCCGCGCGAACCAGGCATTTTGGCAAGCATTAAAACTCGAGAGCAAGAGCGAAAAGACACCATTCCTGCTCCTGATCCGAATCCAGACCAACCTCCGAAAATCTTGCGAGCCTAGAAACAAACGGGTTGGAGAGTTCTCCGACTCCGCTGAGAGTTCTCAGACGGCGACCAAGAACCAGCCAGGCACCGAACGACGAGAAAAGGGGGCAGAGAGTACTCTGCCTCTGTCGAGAGTTCTCGACGCTCGTACAGACCGGCCGCCGAAAAACTATTGCACCGACTGACCAACCCTCGACAGGGAGTGAAGAGTTCTTCACCTCCGCCGGGTGTTCCCGGCCGTTGGTCAGCGGTAAAATACACTGACACCCCGCGTAAGAAAACCACCGATAGGCCGCGAGGAGCAGTATATGCATAGATACAGCGACGCGTGAGATTTAAAAGGCTCAACGCATAGCGCACAATACGCACACCGACATACACGCACACACACACACACCGACTTGTACACGCCGTTCCGCGCCAGTGGGAGCGACACGGCAGATCCCGCCCGCCGAACGCACGTCAACGCACACCTACACGGCACACACATACACACCGACACACCGCACGACGTGCCTCGCACGGCACGCCTGTTTTTGCACCGGCCGCTATCACCGTATGCTTACTCTAGTTCTTTCGACATTTCTTTTTCTCTTTCTTACTTTTCTTTCTTTCTTTCTTTCGTTCTATCTGCCAAGCGTCTCTTAGCGTTCTTTCATCTGTAAATATAAAATACATATACATCTATTACTAGAGACGATTAATAAAAGCTGATTTATTACACGAACACCTTGTCCGAGAGTATTGCTCCACCTGCATTCTCCTCCGTTCGAACCTCTTTCGTATCTGGGAATACGAACAAACCGACGAGCTACATCCGCGCATACGAAAGTTAGGTCGTTACATATATATATATATATATAAAAACACAAATTATATATATATATATAAAAAATACAAAAAGAGAAAAGAATAAAAATAAATAAATAGATAGGTAATATAGCGATAATAATATAATATAAAAAAAAAACTTCCGGTTTGAGGTGAGTGAGAGCAAAGACGTGTTTAATTAGCTTACGGAGGTGAATTAAAGATTGTGGCTGTAGAAGACTTGCCCTACAGGGAGTTTTTTGTTATAGGGACAAGAGTCGATAAATCTAAGAGCTAGGAGAAAAATAGCTCGCCTCATTAAGAAGCGGGCTAATTATTGAAAGGGAAAGACGAGACAAGGGGAACCTAACCTCAAAGGACAAGAGATCCAGGTTATCGGATCAACTACGTGGCGAAGAGATCGAAGTGCGCAGGAGCGAGGTGAAAGGAAGTGACGGTTGGCAAGTGAAGGCGAGCGGGGAGAGAGGAACGGTCGGTGGGAGTCGGAAAGAATTGGGCAGAGAGAAGGGGATGCGTAAGGCCCACTGACAGTGGTAAGGCCTGGAAGCCGTGGGAGTGAGGAATGAGTGAGAGGGCAGAGAGGGAGAAAGAAGAAACCTTCCTAGCGCCAGAGGAGTCAAGCAGAAGTAGAGCGGAAAGGTGGGTACGAACGGGGGAGAAGTGGGGAACAAGTTTGAAGGAGAGCGACGACGGAGAAAGGCAGACGGGAAAGAAGAGTGTAGAAAAGGTAGCGGGGAAGAGAGGAAGACCCACGAAGGCGGAGCAGCTGGGAAAGGAGAAGAGGGATAGCAGTATCACGAGTATTCCGAGCTCGTGGTTCTCGAGGAGGGGAAAAGAGTGTGACGAAGAAGATAGTGAAGAAGAACAGCAAAACGAGAAACGCGAGAAGGAAGGTGAGAGAGGCAAATCGTTGGAACAACAAACAAAAACAGAGGAAAAGAAAATGACAAATATGGAGGAGATGGAAAAAATGATGAAGAGACTAAAGCAGTAGAAAGAGGATATAGTAAGAGAAATAAAAAGAGAAGTAAAGGAAGAAATAAAAGAAATGGAGAGGCAGTTGAAGATGAAATTTGAGAAATTTAAAGAGGAAGAGAAAGAAAAAAAGGAAGAAATTAGAAGGAGAAAATGAAGAGCTGAGGGGGAGAGTAAAAGAGATAGAAAAAAGGAGAGAAGATCAAGAGAGAAGAGACAGAAGATTTAACGTAGTAATGAGGGGGGTAGAAGTGGAAGGGGGAAAACCGAAAGAAGCTGCATTAAGGGTTTTGGAAAAGTTGGGGAGAGGTTAGATAAAGTAATAAAAATAAGAGAAGCATATAAGATGGGGAATAGAATAAATGAGAGTGTGGTGATTGTAAAATTAAATTGTTTAGATGATAAAAAAGAGATCATGATGAAAAAGAATAAATTGATAGGCACGAAAATATATATAGATGATGATATGACTAAAAGGTAGAGAGATAGACAGAAGGAGGTACGGGGGTGGGCAAAGAGAGAGAAAGAGAGAGGTAGATTAGTGAGAGTGGGCTTAGGGAAAGCGTGGATGAATGGTAAAGAGTATGTGTGGAACGAAGAGAGTAAGTGTATGAGAGAAGCGAATTTTTAAAGAAGCGTGCTCGCAGTCGAAAAAGAAAAGAGGGGGGAAGAAGGGGGAGGGAGGGAGTGAAGAGGGAGAAAGTCGTAGTATAAAAGGGGTATTCTGGAACATCGTAGGATTAAAAAGAAAAGATGAAGATTTCTGGGATTTCTTGAAAGATTTTGATGTGATTGGATTAACGGAGACATGGGTGGAGGAAGCGGGGTGGAGGAAGTTAAAAGAAAAAATGCCGGAAGGATGGAGGTGGAAATGTCAACTAGCGAGGAGAGAGAAGAAAAAGGGGAGAGCGATGGGAGGAATAATAATGGGGGTACGAAAAGAAATAGAAGAAAGAAATGGAAGTGAAGAGGATGTAGAGGGGATACAGCAAAGGGAGGTTACTATAGACAAGGAGAGGTGGAGAATCATAACGGTATATAATAGAGAGGGGAGTAAGGACGAGTTAGATAGATTGAGAAAGGTGTTAAGGGAGAGGGAAGAAGGAAACATGTTAATAGCGGGAGATTTTAATGCAAGAACTGGTAGGGAGGGGGGATGGTGTGTAAAAAGTGGGGAAGAAGAAGGAGGAAAAGGCAAAGAGCGGAGGTCGAGAGATGGAGTGATAAATAAACAGGGATATGAGCTGATTAAGGCAGTGGAGGAAAGGGGGTGGATGATACTAAATGGGAGGAAAAGGGGGGATGAAGAGGGAGAGTGGACGTACGAAAAAGCGGGTGGGAGATCAGTGATTGACTATGGGATTACAAACTTGGAGGCAGAAGAGAAAATTAGGTCTTTCAAAATAGGATGCAGGAGAGAATCAGATCACTACCCAATAATGATAGAGTTAGGAAAGGAATATATAAGGGAGGAGAGGAAACAAAAGAGGGAGGCAGAGATGATACAGGATTGGTCAAACGAGGGAGTAGAATATTTTAGGAGTAATATAGAGAAGATAGAATGGGAAAAGGAGGATGTGAAAGGAGGATGGGAAGAATTGGAAGAAGGAGTGAAAAGAGCGGTTAAAATGAAGAGGAGAGGGGGAAGAAAAGGGGTAGGATGGGTTCTATGGTGGGACAAGGAGTGTAGGGAGAAAAAGAAAGAGGTGAATAGGGCAGGGAGAAAATATAGAAGGAGAAAGATGGGATATAATGAGTTTGTAGTAAAGAGACGGGAATATAGAGAATTATGTGAAAAGAAAGAAGCAGAACAGAGGAGATTGGAGGAGGGAGAGATAGAAAAGATAACAACAGAAGCGCAGGCATGGGAATTTATTAATAGAGGAAGGAAGAAGAGGGAAGGAGTAAGTAAAGAGATTAAAATGCAGGAATGGGAAGAGTATTTTATGAAAGCGTTAGAAGGAGTTAAAGAGAGAAGTGTAGGAGAGGGAGAAAAGGAAGGACGGAGAGTGGGGAGAAAGGATGAAGAAGGAATAAGACGAGAGGAAATAAACATAGAAATAGAAAGATTAAAGAAGGGTAAGGCGGCAGGGATAGATGGAATAAGAAATGAAGCATGGATGAAGGGGGGAGATAAAGTAGGTAAAAAGCTGGAGGAGATATATAGGAAAATATGGGAAGGGGAGGGTTTCCCGGACAAATGGAGAACAGGGGTGGTAGTTCCAATATGGAAAAGGGGGGACAAAAATGTGACAGAAAATTATAGGGGGGTTACGTTAACGAGCACCGCGTATAAGATATATGCGAATATTCTCAATAGAAGGGTGAGGAAAGAGTTGGACGAAAAAAAGGATGGGGTAGGACTCAAGCAAGATTTATAAAGGGAAGAGGAACAATAGAAAACATAAAGATCTTAAAACACATAGTAGGAAGAAGATTGAAAGAAAAGAAAAAGGTGTGGGCTTTCTTTATAGATTTAAAAGGTGCGTTTGATAAAATAGATAGGAGGGTGCTATGGGAAATGATGAGGAGAAGAGGGATAAGTGAGATACTGATAGAAAGAGTGAGGGAGATTTATGAGGATACAAGATGCGTGGTAAGAGTAGGGGAGGAGGTTTCGGCGGAATTCTGGGTAGAAAAAGGGGTAAGGCAAGGGTGTCCTCTGAGTCCAACTCTTTTTAATATTTATATTGCGGATATAGAAGAAGAACTAAGGAAGGGGAGAGGAGGAGTGAAAGTGGGAGGGGAGAAAGTGTGGTCGATAGAATATGCTGATGATATTGTCGTTGTGGCGGAAGAAGAAGAAGGATTAAGGGAGATGATAAGAAGAATACAAAAGTATTTAAAAGAGAAGAAACTAGAATTGAGCCCAGAAAAATAAAAAATTATGGTATTTAGAGAAAAAGGGGGAAAGGAGAAAGAAAGGTACTGGTGGTGGGGTAGGGAGAGGATAGAGGAAGTTAAGGAATATAAATATTTGGGATACTGGGTGACAAGATATGGGGGGGATGGGAAGCATGTGAAGGATAGGATAAGGAAAGCAAGAGTAGCTATGGGGTGGGTGTGGAGCTATGGGGAAAGAAAGTTCAAGGGGGACATAAGATGGAGATTAAAATTATTTGATAGCATAGTGAAAGGAATTCTATTGTATGGGGTGGAGATATGGGGATATAAAGAATGGAAAGAGGTAGAGGCATTACAAGAAAAATATTTGAGGTGGATTTTAGGGGTAAACAGCTGGACTTCGGGATATATTGTGAGGGAGGAATTGAAAAGGAAAAAAATGAGACTGGAGACCGGGTGGAGAGCGGGAAAGTTTGAAGAGCGGTTACAGCTTCCTGTAACCTTTCCTTCGAAAGGGAGGGGAAATAGGAAAAGAAAGTATGTTAGAACGAAGGAAAGATGAAAGAGAAAAACGAACAGAATTGACAAAAAAAAGTTTGGAGAGGAGGGGGTATATGTGGAGAGGAGGAGTAAGTGAGGAAGCACTAAATTTATGGGGGGGAGCAAAATGGGAGCAATTGAGAGAGAGAGATATTGAAGTAGATGCACAGCAAAGGGAGGAAGAGGTTAGAAATTCAAGGTCCTGCAAAAATTATTTAAAAGTAATAGGAATCCCAGAATACCTAAGGACTAATAAAAAGAGAGAGGGAAAGAAAGTACAAATGATTGCGAGGTGGAGGTGTGGGAACGAAGAAAGAGGAAATATGTACTGAATGAGTGAAGCGGAGAGAGAATGTAGAATATGCCGAAAAGAGAGAGAGGATATAAAACACTTGAAAGAAGAGTGTCATTTAGTAAGGATGGAAAGAGGGAAGAGAGTAGATGTTTTGCACAAAGATGGAAGGCGATACGAATGGATGAAAATGATAGAGGTAGTAAGAAGGGAGAGAGAGGGAGGGAAGCAGTGTTGAAGAATGTTTAGCCGGAATGAAGGGAAATAATGTAGAGAGAGTGAAAGTAGTATGAATGAGAAGTAGGAAATAAGTTAACGATATCTTGATGTAAACAATTGTATTGTGAATTGTAAAATGGAAGTCCGTGTAATCATAGTGTGAGCACGCAATAAATCTATCTATAATATAAAAAAAGAAAAAAAAGGGGGGTGGGATATATATAAGAAAATTATTTTTTCTTTTTTTCTTATTACTAGTTTTTATTATTATTTAGTTTTATTAACATAAAATTCGCCACGCTGGGCAGAACCCACTGAAAAATTATAAGAAATTTGTATTAGAATAAGATTTTTTAGAATAAGAGCATTACTATTATAAAAATCTAAAAGAGTGAATGTCTAGTCGAAGTCTTGTACACAAGTTGTTGATACAACCGATTTATTATAAATTTCACAATTTTTGAAGACACATTCCAAATATCATTCTATATTTGTTTTTAATTATTAGAGCATATGACAAAATTGTCCCCTAATCTGCTCTTTTCTCTCTCTAAGGAAAACATATTTAATTTTTTTTGTTATTACATAGAACTACCTGATTATCGATTATTATAATATATAATATGTCAACGTACAACCGCGCTCTCCGGACCACTAAATCGAAAGAAAATTAAGACACTTCCGACTATAAAAATCTGTGGGAAAATTGTTACACAGAATTTTCGAATAAAGGAGACGCAGTCCCTACTCCATACAACCTCACTTATAGAGGATCCGCGAACAATTACGACAATAAAAGTCGAGTTCGCCAATAAATATCGGAGCTATGCTGTAGAATTTCAGTACGCCGACAAGATGTTGGTCACAGGATCTAGAGAGTGCAGGCGACCATCGCGGGGGTCAATGCAAAAGAAAGGGATCCCAAGGCTCCAAGTATCCATCGACCATCAGGTAGCAGCTCTTTGAATGTTTCTAAATTTTTAAACATATGCGTAAAAACTAGGGAAAATAGGAGAGAGGGAGATTTATATAAATACATACATTAAGGTAATGAATATAGACCAGTGCAGATAGCTCAAAATGAAATGGAAAAGGGACAAAATTAATAACAGAAAACGAATGATGAGGAAGGGAAGAAACTGCCGTCAGGAATACAGGAACCAAAAATCCAACCACGTAAAATGTAGGGGGGCTGCAGGGGGCGCGTTTTAGGGGTCAAATATGGTTTTTCGTCATTTCCGGCGAAAGTTGACCTCCAATCGAAAAATGTTGTATGGCAGTGTTGTAGGTATTAAAAAGATCTAAAACTTTTGTATATATCATTTTTCACATAACCTCAAAGATTCTGAGAAAAATGAAAAGAACCGTGTTTTTTGTTTTTAATTTTTTTCTCGCGCAAAATTTTTTTTTTTCACGAAATTTACAGGAGACTTACCTGTCTATGTCCCAAATAAGCTATAATTTTTTCGAGAAAAAAAATTAATTTTTCAAGGTAATATTAACAAAAAACCGAAAAATTACCCATAACTTCAACCTAAAAAAGTAATGTAAAAATTCCCGATATTCGAAATTTACAGTATAGGGTTTTCTTCGTTGAAACGTCTACTTTCAGATGGTGTATGGATATATATACATTGCTTTGCAAAAAAGTGCCAAAAAACGGGAAAAACTGAAAAAACTCCATTTTCGAAATTCGTGTTTTCGGCAATTGTTGAATATAGGCAATTTTATGGGAAAATGTACAGTTAAAATCATCTATAAAAGAGAAATGTAATGTGACATTAACAAATGTAATAAGAGGCAGTATACAAGAGACAGAGTAACAAACAGCCTCGTTCGGAAGTCTTCTCGAGTGATTTTTTTATTGAAATTGACAAATTAAATTCGTCATTTTAATTTAAAATTTTTTTTGTACATGTTCAATTGAAAAACTTACACGTTAACATTTAATTATATTAAGACACGTACGTATATAAAATACAATAAACTTTATGCATTAATATAATAAAAAAAATTTCAAGTTTCATTTACGTTAATTTTAAAAACGCCTTTCGCGTTATTATTTTCAACAATATATTTAATTTCATTTAATGTCATTCAAAAATCTTTCATTTTGGAAAGTTATTCACTACATTAAAATTCAGGTCACTATATAAGTAATATAAAAAATATTTTTATATTACAACGGACGTTTATTTTCATTTCTAAAACAGGAAATAATTTTTTTTTCATATACACTTCATTATACATTTCTACATAATTAAATTTTTATAAACAATTTTCTTCAATACAAACATTAAATACATTTTTGTATTTTATACACAATATTAATAATAATACAATTATTCGTAATTCCAATAATAATTCATTACCTCCTTTTCACGTGCGAAAAATAATTTCGTGGTGGATGACGCTGCTACCCTGAACTGTGTTTTGAATTTTATTGCCTGCCCTGTAATATTCGACAATACCGTTACAACACGCACGTTACATACTTTTGAGGTTATTACGTTCGTCAAATTATTCGTACGAAAATAGCAATATATTTCTCAAATGATAAATAGTACATTCTCGTACGTACCTTGATATTTAGATTAAAAAATTTTCTTGCGAATCTGTGAATCTTGTCAATTTCAATAAAAAAATCACTCGAGAAGACTTCCGAACGAGGCTGTTTGTTACTCTGTCTCTTGTATACTGCCTCTTATTACATTTGTTAATGTCACATTACATTTCTCTTTTATAGATGATTTTAACTGTACATTTTCCCATAAAATTGCCTATATTCAACAATTGCCGAAAACACGAATTTCGAAAATGGAGTTTTTTCAGTTTTTCCCGTTTTTTGGTACTTTTTTGCAAAGCAATGTATATATATCCATACACCATCTGAAAGTAGACGTTTCAACGAAGAAAACCCTATACTGTAAATTTCGAATATCGGGAATTTTTACATTACTTTTTTAGGTTGAAGTTATGGGTAATTTTTCGGTTTTTTGTTAATATTACCTTGAAAAATTAATTTTTTTTCTCGAAAAAATTATAGCTTATTTGGGACATAGACAGGTAAGTCTCCTGTAAATTTCGTGAAAAAAAAAAATTTTGCGCGAGAAAAAAATTAAAAACAAAAAACACGGTTCTTTCCATTTTTCTCAGAATCTTTGAGGTTATGTGAAAAATGATATATACAAAAGTTTTAGATCTTTTTAATACCTACAACATTGCCATACAACATTTTTCGATTGGAGGTCAACTTTCGCCGGAAATGACGAAAAAATTTGACCCCTAAAACGCGCCCCCTGCAGCCCCCCTACATTTTACGTGGTTGGATTTTTGGTTCCTGTATTCCTGACGGCAGTTTCTTCCCTTCCTCATCATTCGTTTTCTGTTATTAATTTTGTCCACGAACAAAGTCATCTGCACTGGTCTAATAAGGTAATTTTATAAAATTATATACAAAAAAATATATATATATTTATATTTTCA